CTTCAATCTAAGCCGCATTGGGCGGGCATCCGGCCCAGTGCCTCTACTCGCCAATTTTGTGCTGATATCACCTACCGCTGACATGACATGGTCGACATGGTCTGAGAGAAAAGACTGGGACACTCGCTGCCTGAATTCGTCGCATGCGGCATCGTAAAAGTCTGCATGAGAGCAGAGGCCCCTAAGCGTCATTAGCCTCGCCTTCGGCCACGCTTTGTGCACGTGCCGGGGGTGGGGGAGGAGGGAGGGAGGGAGGAGGGAGGGGGGAGGAGGGGGGGGAGGAGGAGGAGGAGGAGGAGGAGGAGGAGGAGGAGGAAGAGGAGGAGGAGGGGAGGAGGAGGAGGTGGAGGAGGAGGAGGAGGAGGAGGAGGAGGAGGGGGGAGGAGGAGGAGGAGGAGCGAGCCAGGGGGATGGCCAGGCTCGTCGCTTTGAAAACGGGGCCTGGTCGCCGCGCTCGGCCCCCGTTTGCAGATGGTCAGCTCTAGCCAATCCTGACGGGCGAAGACCGGTATGAAATAAACGTTTTCGCTGTCGGGGGCGCCTGTCCTCCTCCTCCTCCTCCTCCTCCTCCTCCTCCTCCTCCTCCTCCCTCCTCCTCCTCCTCCCTCCTCCTCCTCCGCCGCGCTCGGCCGCTGCCCCGTGAGGGGCCGGCCGTCTCTAGCTTTTCCCTGTTCTCTTCGGCGAACTGCTGGGCTGTCCCTGGGCGGCTGGAAAGTTTAGGCCCTCACGGTGGCAACGTAGGGGTATAAATTGTCCAGCCGCCCAGGGACAGGCGCCCCCCACAGCGAAAAAGTTTATTTCATCCCGTTCTTCGCTCGCTGGCAATCGGCAGATCTGTTCGAGCACGTTTCGATCTTCAAGGGGAAATGTCCTGCTCTCGCGATTTAGTTCTCTGCAAAGTAGCCCTCCTTGCATACCATTCTCTACGATCATAAGGATGTCGTCTTTGAGCCGCAAGTACACAGACATATCGTGGATTATTCGGTTCCTGATGGCCCAACGTTCCACCCGCCGTACCAGCGACAAGTCCGCCACATCCTCAGAGTGTGGCAGGCCCATTCCTGAGCCAAGGATGACTTTGAAACACCTCCCTGGCAAATGCGGCGAAACGACAAATTGATTATCCAATGGGATGTTCATGGCACGTGTTACTAATTCTCTCTGCTGGCCAATGAAGAAGATAGATACATCTTCGATCAGCTCTGTAGCACCACCAGACATGAAGAATTCTTTCACGCCCATAGTACAGAATGATGCACGGGGCGAGACCTGTGTACTCATTAGTTGTTTCAGCTGCGTCTCTGGAATCGCGAACTATATGTGGAAATTGCTTCAATCGTTCCCGCAATGTCTTTCCCAGCCAGTGCGAGAGTCCCGCGAAACAATACTTCCCTCAAGCACGTATATTCCTGAAGGGAATCTTATCTGGGTATTTGTGTGTGTGTTTTGCACGTCCTTACAAGTTCAGCCAAACACGTGTGAGATCTTGCCTTCAAGGATTTGGTAATATCTTTTGCGATTGGGGAACCTTCGTATTGTTCTATATACGACTGTGCCACATAACTGAAATTGATGGGATCGGTTGAACATTTCTGGTACCCGGGTCCGCTGAGAATTCGCTCATCGGTCCTCCTGTTGGCGTCGACGTGGACAAGGGTGTAACCCATTTCCTTGACATTCTTTATCGGGGTGTACGGTGCCTTTGACAGCCATTCAAACGCACGTTTGATCAAAGGGAACGTGTTGCCTCGAGGGCGGTGCTTGAGCTCTCGGATTCATTGCTGGCGCGCTGCTGTGATGCTTTGCGTCAGGCTTGATACCCCAAACTCGAGATCTGGAGGCATGCGCTGCGGGCAGCTCGGCGTTGTCCAGCCCTTCGGCTGGTATGCCAACTGCGGTGGACACGCATCGCTATCCAACATGTGTCTACAGCGAAATTTGTTGACAAAGCTTTGAAGGTCTTCCCATACATCGGCGACTTTAGGAAGGACGCCCAAGCTGAACACGTATTTATGGTGGTATGTGCTTAAGAGCCAAATGACCGGCCATGGGACGTCAGTTGGAACGAATATGGTCTCTTCCTGCGGATCAAACATCAAAACACGATGAGATCTTCCCGAATACGTTAGTAACGATAGCCATTCTTCCACTGAGGCGCCCTCCATTTGTCGTGCCAGCCATTTCCCTTCCCATGCTTCATTGCGCCGGCGCCGTATCTGCTCCCTGAGGGCTGTCCCCCAGTCCTCCAATCTTTGTCTCCTCCTTTCCCTCCTGCATTGCCTTTGTCTGTGTCTTTGTCATTGCCCTTGGCTTTGCCTTTGCCTTTGCCCTTGCTTTCTCCTTTGTTGCCGCACTCCATACCTTTCTTGCCTTTGTCGCCTTTGGCTTTGCCCTTGCCATGCTCGTTCTTGCCTTTGCTTTTCTTCCCCTGGGCTGCCCCAGGGGACGACTCGTTGTTTGTCACGGCCTGAACAGCGTCGGTGATGGTGGTCTCCTGGTTCTCTCTCTCAATCTTCATGCCCAGTAGACCTCTCTCTTCTAGCTTCCTGTCGATGGACCTGTTCAGCACTGCGGTGAACATGTCCTCAGGCCGGCTCCTAAAAGCTTTATCATTGTTTTTTTCTTATCTTTTTCCTGTTTGTCTAGCTCCTTATTCCTCTTGTCTTCCCTGTTTGCTTCAAGCTGGACTGACTTTGCCCACATGTTTTCAATGCGCTCCTGGATCAAGGCAGGGTCATCTGGCCTGATCTCTGTCTTTTCGAACCCGAGAGGCCCTGCTTTTTCTTCCTGCGTTTTACCGATGATTTCCATCACCCCATCGTTGAAAGCTTGTTTCTTTGAGCTCTCTCGCAACGAGTCGCGAAACTCACGCTGCCCCTCCAACATGGCCTGTTTGCAAAAACAGCGTCACCTCGTGGTGTACGATTCGCATTGCTTCCCTCTTGGACGTGCCGCGGGGCAGGGGGATGTTGAGGCAAGAATCTGCGGCCTCACACGACCTGATGACAACGTCCAACTCCGTCTGGGTGTCGCTACTCTTGAACGCTCTGCAGCCTGGGGGGTACCGCCGATTCGCACGGTCACTGAGAATGCCAATTTCCCGCTCCAGCCTCTCAATGCTGATGCGGTTCTTGGTGACCTTCAACTTGACCTTGCCGAACTCATGCTGATAAATGTCCAGCTCCTAGGCGACAGAGTCCGAAAACTTCTGTTGGTACTCCTGCCTCGGTGGCTGCGGCATTCCTGCTGGACGTTGCTCAGCTGGTAGTTGCAGTCCTGGGGCCGGGGCTGCGAGGCGGCCCACGAGTTCCAGCAGCTGGGTCTGGATCCGCTGCTGCTCCTGAGCCTGACGTTGTTGCTCAGCGATCTGCTGGCTCATGTGCTCTATCACCCTGTTCTGCTGCTCTACCAATGTTGCGAGGTCGATGTCGTCCACGTCGTTGAGTTCACCACTTTGCCGCTTGCGAGGCACTGGCCCGAGTGGCGTGCCACTCGGTGGCGGTAGGCCAGCTGCCGCGCCGGCTCCTGCATGCACTGGCTGTGATGACTCCAGAGCTTGGAGTACTCCATACGTTGGGCCCTCGAGGTGCGAGGGCGAGGAGGAGGAGGAGGAGGAGGCGGAGGAGGAGGAGGAGGGCGCCTCGGGGGGGGGGAGGGCCCATGCAGAGTCTTCATCGCCTGCAGGCCCCTGGAGACCATGACGCAGATGTAAGTCGGGCCTGTTCCTCTACCGGGGGAAGATTTAAAAATAGTCAAAAGATAGTCTGAGGACGATTTGTTGATTGTTTTTTGATCGTATGGGGGCATTTCTAAATCATCTTTAATTTTTCATCCACGATCCCCCCCTGTAGTGGGACAGGCCCGACTTAAACACAGGTAGACCAGGACAAGGAGGACCAAGGAAACGACACCCTTTCCAGCAAAGTCACGCTTTTCAGTGCCCGTGCATTTTTGTTTGCTGCGCTGCAGGACTCGGGCTCGTGTCCGGGTTTAGGGGGGTCTTGCAGGCTTTCAGGGCTTGTATCCGGGCTTCTCCTGGACATGTTGCAGTGCAGTATCTTCTTCGTGCTGCCGTTCAGAAAAGCTGGCTTCGAGGGATGTTGGGTGTCTGGGTCTAGCGTGTCCAGGTCCACGGGGCCCTCCAGAGCCGCCAGATCTCCGAGATGCTCGGTTTCTCTGCCTGCATTGAGGTCGGGCCTGTCCCCCTACAGGGGGAGTTTGGATACAAAATCAGAAATAGTCAAAACATATTCCCAAAAGATCAAAAAGTACCGCCAACAATACTCAAAACATACATCCAAATTTTCAAAAAATGTCCCCATATTCTTTATGATATGTTTGAATATTCCTCCTGTGCAGGGACGTGCCCGACCTAAGCCTGCCTGGGGGCCCAAGGCACGCCGGTGGAGCGCCCGTGCCCAGCGGCACAGCGAGGCGAGCGATCGCACACGCAGGACTCGAGCCGCGCGGGCGCGAGCGCTTTCCCCCCCCACCTCTGCTGCAGTCGGGCCTGTCCCTCTCCAGGGGGAATATTCAACAAGAGTCAAACAAAATAGTCCGGGGGCGACTTTTGGACCTTGTTTGAGCATGTTTTGAATATTGTGTTTGGGGTATTTGTAGTTCTTCGTCCAAAATCGGCCTGTAGGGGGACAGGCCCGACTCAACCCTCTGCCGCGCCCCCGAGGCTCGGCGGTCAGCGAGCGGGGGAAGTGAGAAGGGAAAGGCCTGCTCGGAAGGCTCGGAAGCCCCCCGGCCTCCCGAGAAGCTGTTTCAGATTCTGAGCCTTGCCCGAAGACACCACAGAGCTTCTCCGCAGGCGTGAGGGCCTCTGAGAAGCCCCGCCGCCTTCCGAGAAGGCCTTCTCCTTCTCACTTCCCCCCCTCGCTCGCCGCCGATCGTCGGCATCCTCTGCGGGCGCGTCCTCGTCGTGTCCTCGTCCTCCCCGTCCTCCTCGTCCTCGTCCTCGTCCTCCTCGGCCTCGTCCTCGTCCTCGCTTGCCGCCGAGAGGTGCGTCGTGCTGAACTCGCGCGCGAAGTGGGACGGGCAGGAGCGCGACCTCAGCGGCAGCGAGCTGCTGCAGATGGCCGGGCGTGCGGGCCGCCGCGGGCTGGACGAGCGGGGCAACGCGGGGGGGCCCAGCGCGCCGGCAGGGCGATGAGCGAGGGGGGGGGGACAAGTTAGGAGCGCTCGCGTCATATCCCCAGAGGTCCAGCGCATTGAAAACATCAAGACGGGTTTTTTTCTCTCCTTTCGGCCCCTAGGGGCCCTCGCCGGGCCCCGGGACCGTCAAAGATCGACTCAGCACGGAAAAGCGGTCTTGGGGAGTGGGTCGAGACTTACAGGGACCCCGTCTTGAAAAAAAAAATGACGTCGGATCTCTGGGTCTAACGTCCCACCCCCCCCGTCCCAACCCCTACCATGGCGCAGATCTCCTCTCTATTCGCACAGTCGGATGTCGTAGCAGGGCACAGCATTACATGACATAGCATGGTGTTGAAGATCAACGCGTAGCCTGACATAGCATGGCGTGGCGACGCCCGAAAGTGAGGGGGGGCTTCTGCGGCCCAACAAATCAACGAATCGACACCGAACGTGTAATCAATTCCGATGGTCTTTCCATTGCATGTTTCCCAACCACCCTGTGGTGTGGGGTCCTCGTTTTGAAGAGACAGCGCCCCGCGTCCCACCTTCCTTCCTCCTCCTCCCCCTCCTCTCTCCTCTCCTCCTCCCCCTCCTCCCTCCTCCCCCTCCTTACCTTTGCTCTCGGCACACCTCTCACACGTTTCGTAGCCCCATGGGGAGCTCCACCGAAGGCCCCAGTGGGGGTGTTCGCATGCGGTTCCCCACCCAGGGCAGCGCTTCGTGGCCCTATAGGGGGCTCCACCGAATGCCCCAGTGGCTGCTCTCGCATGCGGTTCCCCGCCCCAGGGCAACGCTTCGTGGCCCCATAGGAAGCTCCACCGAAGGCCCCAGTGGGGGTGTTCGCATGCGGTTCCCCCACCCAGAGCAGCGCTTCGTGGCCCCATGGGGAGCTCCACCGAAAGCCCAGGTGGGGGTGTTCGCATGCGGTTCCCCCACCCGGGGCAGCGCTTCGTGGCCCCATGGGGAGCTCCACCGAATGCCCCAGTGGCTGCTCGCGCATGCGGTTTCCCCTACCCAGGGCAGCGCTTCGTGGCCCCATAGGGAGCTCCACCGAAAGCCCCAGTGGCGCAGTCCGCACGCGGTTCCCCCGCCCAGGGCAGCGCTTCGTGACCCCATAGGGAGCTCCACCGAAGGCCCCCGTGGCGCAGTTCGCATGCGGTTCCCCCACCCGAGGCAGCGCTTCGTGGCCCCATGGGGAGCTCCACCGAATGCCCCAGTGGCTGCTCGCGCATGCGGTCCCCCCACCCAGGGCACCGCTTCGTGGCCCCATAGGGAGCTCCACCGAAGGCCCCAGTGGCTGCTCTCGCATGCGGTTCCCCCACCCAGGGCAGCGCTTCGTGGCCCCATAGGGAGCTCCACCGAAGGCCCCAGTGGCTGCTCTCGCACGCGGTTCCCCCACCCAGGGCAACGCCCCGTGGCTCCATGGTGAGCTCAGCCGAAGGCCCCAGTGGCTGCTCTCGCATGCGGTTCCCCCACCCAGGGCACCGCTTCGTGGCCCCACAGGGATCTCCACCGAAGGCCCCAGTGGCTGCTCTCGCATGCGGTTCCCCCGCCCAGGGCAGCGTTTCGTGGCCCACAGGGATCTCCACCGAAGGCCCCACTGGCTTCTTTGGCATGCGGTTCCCCCATCCAGGGCAGCGTTTCGTGGCCCCAGAGGGAGCTCCACCGAAGGCCCCAATGGCTGTTCTCGCATGCGGTTCCCCGCTCAGGGCAGCGCTTCGTGGCCCCATAGGGAGCTCCACCAAAGGCCCCAGTGGCGCAGTTCGCATGCGGTTCCCCGCCCCAGGGCAGCGCTTCGTGGCCCCATAGGGAGCTCCACCGAAAGCCCCAGTGGCGCAGTCCGCACGCGGTTCCCCCGCCCAGGGCAGCGCTTCGTGGCCCCATAGGGAGCTCCACCGAAGGCCCCCGTGGCGCAGTTCGCATGCGGTTCTCCCACCCAGGGCAGCGCTTCGTGGCCCCATAGGGAGCTCCACCGAAGGCCCACGTGGCGCAGTTCGGCGCTTCATGGCCCCACAGGGAGCTCCACCGAATGCCCCAGTGGCGCAGTTCGCATGCTTTTCCCCCGCCCAGGGCAGCGCTTCGTGGCCCCATAGGGAACTCAACCGATGGCCCGCCTTAGTGGCGCAGTTCGCATGCGGCTCCCCCACCTATGGCAGCGCTTCGTGGCCCCATAGGGAGCCCCACCGAAAGCGGCACCCACAACGCGTTACGAACAATTGCTTATGGCTGGGTCCTTCGCCAGGATAATTTAAGAATTGCGGGGCCCATTTGGCAGGACCGAAAACGACGCCGTGGCATGGCGCTGGAAATCATGACGCCAGCGCTGCAGCGGGAGCACGATTCGGAACGAGCGGAAGCGCGGAAATGATGCCAGCGGCGCAGCGGGAGCACGTTTCAAAAGACGACGCGTAGCCTGACATAGCATGGCGCGACGACGCCCCAAAATGGGGAGAGGCTTCTGCGACCCAAGAAGCAACGAATCGACACCGAATGTGGAATCACTTCTGGTGTTTTTCCCCATATCCTAAGGATTGGGGTTCTTGTTATTACTCTGACGCCTCCCACTGCTCCTCCTTCTTCCTCCCGCTCGCGCCTCCCTCCTCCCAATGATAATCACCAGATAAGACAAGACAAGATAAGATACTACAAGATAAGATAAGATAGCACAAGATATGATAAGAAGAGATTTCAAGATAAGATAAGATAAGTTAAGCTCACACTCACACTCTCTCATGATCACAAAACGCTGCCAGGGGCATCATTTGGGAGCCCCAAGGGGGAGCCACCCTGGCTGATCTCACGAGCCCGTTCGCGCCGATTTTGGTGGGACGTCTCAGCTAGAATTGCCGTTTGGCGCCCCCAACATGTATCTCTTGAGAGCCTCATGGTCACAAAACGCTGCCAGGGGCATCATTTGGGAGCCCCAAGGGGGAGCCACCCTGGCTGATCTCACGAGCCCGTTCGCGCCGATTTTGGTGGGACGTCTCAGCTAGAATTGCCGTTTGGCCTCCCCAACATGTATCTCTTGAGAGCCTCATGGTCGCAAAACGCTGCCAGGGGCATCATTTGGGAGCCCCAAGGGGGAGCCACCCTGGCTGATCTCACGAGCCCGTTCGCGCCGATTTTGGTGGGACGTCTCAGCTAGAATTGCCGTTTGGCGCCCCCAACATGTATCTCTTGAGAGCCTCATGGTCACAAAACGCTGCCAGGGGCATCATTTGGGAGCCCCAAGGGGGAGCCACCCTGGCTGATCTCACGAGCCCGTTCGCGCCGATTTTGGTGGGACGTCTCAGCTAGAATTGCCGTTTGGCGCCCCCAACATGTATCTCTTGAGAGCCTCATGGTCGCAAAACGCTGCCAGGGGCATCATTTGGGAGCCCCAAGGGGGAGCCACCCTGGCTGATCTCACGAGCCCGTTCGCGCCGATTTTGGTGGGACGCCTCAGCTAGAATTGCCGTTTGGCCTCCCCAACATGTATCTCTTGAGAGCCTCATGGTCACAAAACGCTGCCAGGGGCATCATTTGGGAGCCCCAAGGGGGAGCCACCCTGGCTGATCTCACGAGCCCGTGAGAGAGAGAGAGAGAGAAGAGAGAGAGAGGAGAGAGAGAGAGAGAGAGAGAGAGAGAGAGAGAGAGAGAGAGAGAGAGCGGAGAGAGAGCGAGAGAGAGAGAGAGAGCAGAGAGAGAGAGAGATAGCGGGAGAGAGCGAGGGAGAGCGAGAGAGAGCGAGAGAGAGCGAGTGAGAGCGAGAGAGAGAGAGAGAGAGCGAGAGAGAGCGACAGAGAGCGAGAGAGAGCAAGAGAGAGCGAGAGAGCGAAAGAGAGAGAGAGAGAGAGAGAGAGAGAGAGATAGAGAGAGAAAGAGAGATATATATAGAGAGAGAGAGAAGAGAAGAGAAGAGAAGAGAAGAGAGAGAGAGCGAGAGAGAGAGAGAGGGAGAGTGAGAGAGAGAGGAGAGAGCAGAGAGAGAATAGAGAGAAGAGAGAGAGGAGAGAGAGAGAGAGAGCAGATATAGAGGCAGAGAGAGAGAGGCACAGAGAGAGAGGCAGAGAGAGAGAGAGGCAGAGAGACAGAGGCAGAGAGAGAGGCAGAGAGAGAGAGAGAGCAGGGAAAGAGAGGCAGAGACAGAGAGAGGGCAGAGAGAGAGAGAGAGACAGAGAGAGCAGAGAGAGCAGAGAGAGAGGCAGCTCAGTCACACTTAAATCCAGATTCGTCCTCACCGAGTCCCACCACCAAGGGAGCGCCAGCAAGGAGATGCACATATGGGGATCCCCACGCAGTGAATAATTCTTCGGGGGGCATGTTGTAGAGTTTAGGGCCTATTTGTAAGGACCGAAAACGACTCCGTGGCATGGCGCTGGAAATCATGACGCCAGCGCTGCAGCGGGAGCACGATTCGGAATGAGCGGAAGCGCGGAAATGAGGACAACGTTGCAGCGGGAGCACGATTCGGAACGAGCTGTAGCCCGAAAGTGGGCCAGCGTTTCAGCGAGAGCAGCATTCTGAACCCCCCCAAAAAAGCTGAAGCGACAATCCGCTTCCCGGCAATATTGTGTGTAAAAGACGAGTAATTGCGCGGAGGGGGGTCGAGTATTTCCCAGACGTCGCCAGGGGAGAGAGGAGAGTAGTATTCATATTGTACAATTGTGGAGGGGGGGGGTCTCGGGGGGTCGGGTTTAGACGGGGACGGGAGGAGGGAGGAGGTGGAGGAGGAGGAGAAGGAGGAGGACGCGGAGGAGCAGGAGGAGGAGGAGGAGGAGCAGGAGAATGAGGAGGAGGAGGAGGAGGAGGAGGAGGAGGAGGAGGAGAGGACGGAGGGGATGAAGGGTCGAGGCTCGCAGCTGCGAGGAGGTGGTCCTGCCGCTTCGCGGGATCCAGCGAGAGGGGCCAGTGTCTCCTCCTCGTGCTCGTCCACCCGCTCCCCATCCCGGCCCCGCTCTTCCTCCCCCCCCCCTCCCCTCCCCACCCCGCCCCCTCTCGGCGACTACAATCGATGCCGTTACGCCGGGGTGCGGTCGCATTGAGTGACAGTGTCATCCCTTTTCCGGGGGCCTGCAGCGCAGGTATGACGGGAGGCAAACCGCACCCTTCGCAAACCGCACCCATTGTAGTCGCCGACCCTCCCCCCCACGGCCACGCGCAGAGGGGGCAGCAGGGGGAAGGAAGGACGGCTTCTCAGAAGGAGGCTGCTTCGGAGAAGGCGCGGGCCTGGCCGGCAGATGTAGAGGCCGCCGCCCTCTAAGACGCAGGGGCGTGCTTCTAAGGAGCCGCCTCCCTCCCCCTGCCCCCTTGTGCGCGCCCCTTGCCCCCCCGCTCTTGTCCGTCGGCCCCGCTCCGCGGGAGAGCCCGGAGGGCAGCACACCCAGTGGAGGCCCGCCGCGGGGCCTTGGGGACCGTCGGGCGGCGGCCCAGGACGAGAGGGCGCCTGGCGGCCCCCCGTGGGGCCCTCGGGGGGCGAGTGTTCGGCCCTCGACAGGGCGACGCGGACTGAGGACCCCCGACCTCCCACTGTCACCGATGGCCGCCAGGATGTGACCCCGAGGAGGGCGCGCGCGCGCGCGCGCGGCGCGCGCGATGCCCAGCCACACGATGCCTACATGGTGGCTGACGTGAGAGGCAGTCCCACCCACCCCCCCGCCCCCGACCACGGGATGTGACCGAGAGGTCCTGGACGTGAGTGGTGCACGTCCTTCTACAGGGGGAATCTTCCCAAATAGTCACGAAATAGCATGGGGACGATTTTATTATCATTTCTGTCTACATTTGTTGTTCTAAACTTGTTCCACTACGGTGGGGGCGTTGGTTAAGGAATTTCTCCTCCTCCTCCTCCTCCTCGTCCTCCTCCTCCTCCTCCTCCTCATCCTCCTCCTCCCCCTTGTGGCCCTTGTGGCCCTCAGAGAGGTCCCCAGAGCCACCAGCTGGTCCTCAGGCAGGTCCAAGCAGAAGGGGCGCGATGGTGGAGGATGGGAGGAGTTGGACGTCGTATTTGACGCAGGCGCGCCTAGCGTGCCCCATCGCCGCTCCCAGCTCTCCCCGCTTCCCCCTTCTGGTCTCTGGGCCTCCCGGATGGGGTCCCAGCGGATGGTGTCGGAGGATCACGCCGCATCGCCGATGTATCGGCGTTGCGGCTCAATGTGGTGCCCGAGTTTCTCCACGCCGACGTCGCCGACGCATCGCCGGCGACGCCGACACAGCGTCGATGCATCGTCGATGTGTCGATGATGCATCGGCGATGCGGCGCGATCCTCGGATCCCATCTACTTGGACCCCATCTAGGAGGCCTCGATGGACTTCAGAGAGGTCCCCGGAGCCACCAGCTGCAAGGGGAAGGGACGCGATGGCGAGGGATGGGAGGAGTTGGACGTCGTATTTGAGGCAGGCGCACCTAGGATGCCCCATCGCCGCTCCTGGCTCTTCCTCCTTTTCCCCTCTCCGTCATTATTGTTATGTTTTTGTTTTTTTTTCTCTCTCTCTCTATATATATATATTGCCGCCCTCTCCTCTCCTCTTCCTCCTCCTCCTCCTCCTCCTCCTCCCGCCCGTTCCTCCAATCTCCCCCTCCCTCGCGCCCTCCTTTCCTCCCCATCTTTGCATGAGGAGAGAAGGGCGGCCTGAGGTGGTCCTCAACTTCCACCCCGTCACCACGCAGGCCTGGCGCGCGCGAGTGAACGGTGGGGGCGACCGGCCCTTCTGGACTGTGCCCCCCCCCCCCCCCGCCACACACGTAAAACGACGCGAAGATCGGGACAAAATCGGATCGGGATAAGTCGAAATCTCTGAGAATCGGCGGCTTTGGAGGATGTAGGGGGCGCCGCGGCCGCTCCAGAGCGCTCCGGAACGCTCTGAGAGCGCTCCGGAACGCTCTGGAGCGATTTATCCCGATCCTAGCCCTGTTTTAACACGCACACCTGCGACCCGCTTCATTTCCGCGTGCCTCCACTCGGCCGTCTCGCCTCGTCCGCCGCCCCCCTGCCCCCCCCCCACGCGCACGCACGCACACCTGCGACCGGCTCCGTCTTCGTGTGCCTCCACGCGGCCTCGTCCGCGTCAGCTCCTGTCCATCTGCACTCGCCCCCCGCCCTTCGATCATGTGCTGGCCATCTTTGCGTTGGCGCCCTCGCAAGGTCAGCAACCGTTGCGCGCTGCACGCGGTTTCAGGAATCGGTCAGGGTGGTACTCCACGGGGGCTCACCGATCGGTTTTGAGTCGAATCTGGGCGAGAGGAGTTCGCCAGCTGCGGTGTGGTTTCAAGGCACGGGCGACAATCGGTATGAGAATATCGTCTTGTGCGGATTCGCCCTGTTCCCTCGGATCTCGAACCATCCCGTGTTGACGGTGTGCTGCGCTCGTGCGTCATCAATCTCGCGTTGGCACAGCTGTGGTTTCGCGAGCGATGTGAAACAGTGACGTGCTGCCAACTGGCTGAGTGGTTCGGCCTCGTGCAGGACCTTCCTGCAGCAGCGGGAGTGCGGGGCACGTGCGCGCTGCCTGTGTCGCTCGCTCGTCGTCGTGGTCGTCGTCGTCGTCGTCGTGGTCGTCGTCGTCGTCGTCGTCGCATTCCTCGGACCCCATCTGCTCGGACCCCATCTGGGAGGCCTCTGAGGCTGCCGGCCCAGTGCTGGCCTGGCCTTGGGCTCGCAAGCGCGGCGGGGAGCCTCGCGACTCGGAGAGCAGGAGGGTGCTCGCTCGGGCAGCGCCCGCCCTTTTCCGGGTGTGGGGTCCGCCCCGGTTCTTGGCTGGGGGACCCAGGGGCGATGAGGAAAGAGTGCGGAGGACGTACATCAGAGCCCCGAATCATCAGGGGTAACTCGGGTCAGGGCTAACTCGGGTTCGCTTTTCGGGATTCCGAACCCGAGTTACCCCGGACCCGAGCTACCCCAGATAATTCGGGCGTCCAGAGCCCCACATCATCAGGGGTAACTCGGGTCAGGGCTAACTCGGGTTCGTTTTTCGGGAATCCAAACCCGAGTTACCCCGGACCCGAGCTACCCCGGATAACTCGGGCGCCCAAGTACAGTCAAGACGCTGACCTCAGGACCACCTCTGGCTCGGGAGGGGCTCCTTGTAGTGTTCGGGCCGCTGCTCGGATCTAGGTCGGGGAGCCTATCCGGAGACGAGGCCTGCCGTGGCGAGGCAAGCCCGCTCAGACCGTGCAGTCGGGCCGAGGGGTGGGGTCGAGGCCGGTTCGAGCAGGGCACCTTGGCGTTCCTCGTGCGTGCCCCGGATGCTCGCCTGCATCCCGGGGGGAGGGTATAGCCTCGATTGTGTGCCGCAGTGTGGCCGGCGGAGGGCCTCGTGTCGGCGGCGAGCGAGGGGGGGAGGAGGAGGAGGAGGAGGAGGAGGAGGAGGAGGAGGAGGAGGAGGAGGAGGACGAGGAGGAGGAGGAGGAGGAGACGTGGGGGGGAGCGAGGAGGAGAAGGCCTCCTCGGGAGGCGGCGCGGCGTCTCGGGAGCCCCCGCGCCTTCTGAGAGGCGTTCCTCATAGGGCGACGATCTCTATACACATCCACTGCTCCCGGCCAGGCCAATCCTGGGCCCAAGAGCTGTGTATACGCCCTCCTGGCTTGGCCAGGGAGGCATATACACCGCTCCTGGGCCCAGGATGGGCCTGGCCAGGAGCAGTGGATATGCATAGATCTCGTCGCCCTACCTCAGGAAGGAAAGAAACACACAGACACAATTAATCGTCGATTCCCCCAAACGTATGGGAAACTATGGGAAGTTGGGGGGGAAGACGAGAATCCAGAACATATGGGAAAATAGAGGGGGAATCTTGCTATCTGTGTGTATCTGCTTGTGTGCCCCAGGGCCCCTTCCTTCTCGGGGGCCCCCGCGCCTTCCGAGAGGCGTTTCCGTGTCGTCGGCGCGGGCCTGGGCAACTTTTTCCGGAAGGCCAGAGGGCTTCCGAGCCTTAGGTCGGGCGTGTCCACCTCCAGGCAGGCCGTGGACGAAAAATGAGAAATGGTCAAAACAATTCAAACATGCTCCTCCTCCTCCTCCTCCTCCACCTCCTCCTCCTCCTCCTCCTCCTCCTCCTCCTCCTCCCTTGGTTCTCCTCCTCCTCTCCAGCGTGCTCCAGATTCGCTCCGCCGGAGCACGTTCCAGCGTGCTCCGGAAACGCCCCGCCGGAGCACGTTAGCTTCGGTGCCCTTTTCTAGTCGGCTCGCATAATATCTCTAGCTTGATGGATCGCGAAGTTGACCCAACGCCAATCGCGACACGGAGAAACAAAACAAAAAAAAGTCTCCAGACGATGTGTTTACTATTTTTGACTCTTCCCCCAGGGGCAGGCCCGACTTAATCCGAGCTCTCTGAGAAGGCACGCCCCTTTCTCACTCCCCCCCCCCGGCTCGCCGCCGATGGTGCTCTGAGCACTGTGGGAGCTCTTGTCCTAGAAGATGTGATTTTCGATATCTGGTCAAACATCCCCCTTTAGGGGGACGGGCCCGACTTACTCCAGATTTCGTAATAAAGGGAGGGGGGTCTCATTTCGGGGGGGGTCTCTTCCAGGCTATCTTGGAGGGCCTGGGGGGGTCTGGGGACGATGTTTTGGAGGGTTCTCCCACGGGGGAGGTCTGAAATGGATTGTCTTGGAGGGTCCAGACCCCCTCCCTTTTATTACGAACTCTGGAGTAAGCCTTGTCCTCGGTGGCCTCGTCTTCCTCTTCCTGCTGCCGCTGCGCCGCGCGTGCTCCAGAAGGCTGCGCCGCTGCTGCCCCCCCAGACTGAGCATCTGCTGATGGGTTTATTGCGAGCGCGTCTTCCTACGGGTCGAGTATTCAAACATTGCCAAACAATCATCTCGGGGCTGGACAGAACCCCCAACAGTGACACGTCGATTAGTGAATTGTCCGTTTTCGGTTCTCGAGAGGGCGCCGTGGCCGTTATTTTCCAGGCTTGCGCCCTCCAGGTTTGGGCCTCAGGCCGTTTTCACTAAACCACGTTTTACTAAAGGGGGGTCTGTCCATCCCCGATCATCAGGGGACGATGTTGTTTGACTATGTCTCATTGTTCTTCCGACATCCGCCCGTCGAGGGACATGCCCGACCCAGCGTTATAGGTTCGGAAACGGTCGGCACGAGGTACACGGTCGATGTCTGTTCGGGGAGGGTGCCCTGATATGAATCGTGCTTGTTGGACGTTCCGTGTGCATCCTGGGGAGGGAGCGCTTGGTTGTTCTGTGTGCTTTGGCCAGCGGAGGGCACCCTAATGTAAGTCGTGCTCGTCGTCTGCTCTTGTGCCTCCTAGGTTAGGGCGATCTTGTGGTTTGGGGTGTTCCGGCCGGTGGAGAACTTCATGTTCTTGAGGGATGCTTTTCTGTCCTAGCTCCGGCCGTGGAACCATTGCTGCTGTAGTAGGGTGGGCCCTGCCGGAAATACGCACGACAAAAAACATGGAATGTGAAAAAGAGATTGCGTCCTTGGTGTCTGCCCAGGACCTACCCTAGATTGAGCATCTGCAGATAGGTTTAAGTCAGGTGCGTCTTTCTGCAGGTCGCATACTCAAACATAGCAAACATTGTGAGAGGACTATTTGTTCGACCATCTTCGGCCGGTGGAGGGCACCCTAATGTAATTCGTGCTCGTCGCTTGTTTGTTGTGCCTCCTGGGTTAGGGCGATCTTGTGGTTTGGGGCCAGCAGGGGGCTTCATGTTCTTGAAGGATGCTGTTCTGTCTTGGGTCCGACCGTAGATCCATTGCTACTGTAGCAGGGTGGGCCCCCCAAGAAGCTCGCACGACATAAAAACATGCACTCTGAGAAAGATATTGCGTCCCTGGCATCTGCCCAGGATCTACCGCAGTAAACTCAGGAGGGAAAAAACACACAGACACAATGAATCGTCGACTCATGCAAATATTGGAAAATATATGGGAACATATGGGAAGTGGGGGGAAAGACAAAACAACAGAAAGTATGGGCACATATGGGAAATGGGGGGGAAGACCAAAGCCCAGAAATTATGGGAAAGGATGGTGAATCTTGGGATCTGTGTGAATTTATGTGTGTGTCCCTGGGCTCCTTTACCAACTTGAAGACGTAAGACTGCGGCCCCGGCTTCTGCCCTGCAATTGCCCTTGTGTGAATGCATCGGGCGAGGGCATCTGCCCGGCATCTAGAGTGCAACAGAATATTCGATTGGGCCAACAAGAATCGGGGAAACATTAGACTTAGGTTGGGCCTGTCACCCTACAGGGGGTCTTTTCGACGAGTATTTTTGCCTTTTTGGAGCATTTGTGGGGTATTTTTTATCTTTCGTCGAACATCCCCCTGTAGGGGGACACGCCCGACATAACATTAGACTCGGGTAAGCCGGAACTCGGGTTCGCCGGCGTTTTTGTTGACCAGCGCGTCCTGGATTTTGACGGTCCAGTTTTCATGGGATGTTTGCAGGGGGAGCTCGCGTCAAATTTCAGATTGCGTCGCGTCGATTTCATATGTGATGGCCCCGTCGGGCCAACCCGAGTTCCCCAACCCGAGTCTTACGTCTCCCCAATATTCGATTGGGCCAACAAGAAGAGTTGCCGTTTCTCGTATGTTCACGAGGGTGTCTCGCGTTTTTACGTGTTCATGCGCTTCATGTGTTTATGGGTTTCATGTTCTGCTGGATGGTTCTTTCCGAGCCTGTCAAAGCATTTGCGCCGTCACCCATAGCTCAGGATG